ATACTAAAAAAACTAAAAAATGTATTTTTTGTGCATAATTGATTCAATGATTATAAAAAATACATTTTCCAGTTATTCAACTGTGTTTTTTAAAAATAGTTTTATACATTTTTTTAAGTTTGTTTTGAGTAGACACCCTGTTTATTATGACATCCGGCCTTAAAAAAATGTAAACAAACCAAAAAGTAGAGTATCAAATTGAAAATTGAACCTTGCGAAACCGTTTTAATGTTATTTTTAAGGAGTTATAAAATCTTTAATATATATTAACTATATTATCAAAATTAATTTATTACAATAATAAAAAAATGCCTTCTGTAAAAAGAACTAGACGGTGTAATTTATATGGTGGTAGCCCTTCTGATCTTCCTATTACAGATCTAGCAACTTATGGTGATGTAGCAAGATTTTTCTACAAATTAAAAAATTTAGATGGTATTAAAGACAAAAATATTATTATTCAAAGAACGCTTTGTAGTTTAAAAGAAATATGGTTCAATTGCAATTTCAAATTAGTTTTGTTACCTGAAAAAGTTTGATTGTTAAACTTTTAAGATTTTATAATAATGTGATTTCTTGGAATGGAAATAAAATTAAACCTTTGACCAAAAAATTGTTGGAAAAAAATAAAGAAAAACTTTTTGATCTGCTAGCATGTAACTGCAAGCTTGAAGTTCTTCCTTGTGATGACAGGAATATCAAATGCTTAGGTTGTTCAAATGTGCATCTTTACTGTAGTTGTGTTGGTAGTAAAAAAGTAAGTTATACAAATTTAAAGTAATTTATTTTAAATTAAACTTTAAATAACTTATTTAATTTTATTGATAAACTTTTTTATATTTTATTATTATTTTTTATATTTTTAGATAATAATACGTAAAACAAATTAATTGAAAATAATATTTAAAACCAGAAATAATAATTTAGGTTCCTTTGGAAGAGTGCTCCTATATAAAAGATCAAAGGGAGAAAATTGGTACTAAAGGAAAGTTTCAAATAGGAGGTATTGATGACTCTGTTTTATCACCTACCTCAAGAAAAACAAAGCAAGCAAAAGCTTCAGTTAATCACAACAAATCACTTTTAAAACTTCAAAACTTACTTCCTGTAAACCTAGCTGGTTTACATCATGGATTGCTAGCTACCTACACAAAGTTGTCAAAGAGTAAAAATAATGAAGCATGTAACAGAATGGAAATGTATTAAAGTTGGAGTCATTCAATTTATTGTTCTTGGACCCACATGTACATCTTTTAATGCGACTAGTAATCGCATAAAAAAAATGTTAAGAACGCTGATTTTTTTTACATTGGAAATGTCATTACGTCTACTATAAACATAAAGGTTATTTATCAAAACATAATAAAATATCCTCTGAAATCAAAATTCAATATCACAATCACAAAATTCAATATCACTCATCACAAAACATATTACACCAACAGACTTTCCACAAAATATTCAATCATATGGATGCATAAATATTAATTAGACATACTTTTCTGTTGTGCAGCAAGGTTTGTTTTGCTGCTCGTGTGCTTTGTTTTTAAAAGAAATAAATTATTAGGAGTCTTTTGTTAACAAAACCTTATATAATTGGAATAAGCTAACCTTATATAATTGGAATAAGACAAAATAGATTTTCACAAAAATAGAGTTTATCCCAAACGTGGACGAGTGTTATAGTATTCAAATACCACTTGAAAGTGTTGCCTTTAGAGCAACACTACTATAGGATTAGTTTTCTGAGGTGATTTTAATGTACATATCCAACAATGTTAAATGCAATTTACAAAAAAACAAAAACATGCATGTTGCCTAATATTAAACGCAAACAGGTACAGCAGTGCTAAACCTCTAAAAGAACTTAGAGTGCTAAACACCAGTGCTAAACCTACTAAAAGAACTTGGAGTGCTTAATATCTTTGAAGTAAACATTTTGAAGAAACTACTTTTTATGTACATTCACTATGGTTATAACTTGGATTTAGATGTGGCAGTTAAAATTTTTTTAAAATCAAGGAAGATTAGAAATCGTACCTTATAAATTAGAAGAATAAAATTTGTTATTTATACTAATGATATCTTCTTATCTTCTTTTGTTCTTGTGTATGTTTTTTCTTTTTACAAAATCTTCTGGTTCAGATACCCTCCTCTTAAAACTTCCTGAACTGCTTATCAACAAAACTAAAATTAACAGAGAATACTCAATCTACTTCTCAGGTGTGTTTCTTAATGAAGGAGTTAGCTGGAGTAATCGTATCAAAAAAGTGGAAAAAAAATCTAAAACTATCGAAATTATGTATAAATCAAATCATCTTCTTAATACAACTTGTTTAAAAAGTATTTATTTCTTTTTTATCCATAGCTGCATCAATTACTTTAACCTAATCTGGGTGAGTACATATCCAACAATGTTAAATGCAATTTACAAAAAAACAAAAACATGCATGTTGCCTAATATTAAACGCAAAAAGGTACAGCAGTGCTAAACCTCTAAAAGAACTTAGAGTGCTTAAGTAAACATTTTGAAGAAACTACTTTTTATGTTTAATTTATAGAATCTACAACTACCAAACACTTCTAAATATCAATTTATTTCTATAAACCACAAATACAAAACTAAGTACTCAATTAACAACATTGTTATACCAAAAACTTTATTAAAACAAGCTGATTTCTCAATATCTTGCCAAAGGTCACGATTGTGGAATTCGATTTTAACAAGTAATATAAAGACTATAACTTCCACTATAAATTTTAAACGTGCAACGTGAAACAACATATTTTCAATTTTGATTATAATCAATTACTAACTTACTTTTAAAACCCCTATTTAACGTTAGTTACTTAATATCTTATATATTGACGCAATACATTTTTATTTTGTTTTTTCAAAAAGTATTTTCTTCAATATGTATGGATTTGAAAGTTATGTTATAATATTGACGTAAAAAAAAAATTATAAAAAATAAAAATAAAAATCAAAAAAATATAAACAAATTAATGAATAAAAAAAAAACAATAATAATAATAAAAAAAAAAACTAAAAAAAAAAATAATAAAAAGTTTATGCATGTGTATTATATACAAGACTTTATCTAAGTTTGTAACAACGGGGCTGGATGGTAAGACCATGTCTTCTGTCAGCTTCAGTCAAAATTTTTTAAAACTTATAATGTTATGATGTAAAACATTGTAAAGCTTATTTCAAAGGACGAAATAAATAAATAAATTAATTAATTGAATATTTATCATTGAGACCAAAGGTGTATTGTTTATTTATTTTTCATCAGTTACATTATATTAAAAATTGCATGAATCTTGTGTATAATTATAATATTTTTAAAAAATGACCTTTCAATTAAAAACAAAAAAAAAAACGATTGAAAAGTTTTTTGAAACTTGCAAAAAATGGGGCAAGATGGAGAGTGGACAATATGGTTTTTCATATAACAATTCAACAAAAAAACTTCAATATTGGTGAAAGGTATTTCCGTGTATATGTAAAAAAAAATAAAAAATAGGTGAAACTGTAATATCAAGTTGTATTTTTAAAACGCCTAATGGTTTTTTAAAAATATTTTTAACGCAAATTTAAACGCATAATTTTTAATTTTTGCGCTAAAAAAGAAAATACCTAGATTTCGATTATTTGGTTATATTTTATATATTTTAAAGAAACTACATCATTTTGGGTGGTATCCAGCCATTATTTCTATTTTCTTATATTTTACACATAATAAATACCTTTGATGAATTAGTAGCATAATAGATAAAAATCTAAAACTTATTGCAAAAATAATTGCTAAGAACATAAATATCTTAAAATTACATCAATAAAAAAGGCTAAAATTTTGCAAAATGCTAGTATATTTGTGTAGCTTGCGCCTGAACGAAAAAATTAAACGAAAAAATTTTTAACGATCAAAAATGGCAGACTTAATAGAATAAAAAACTATTTTTTAGCGATAAAACACTCAATTGATATGGTAATTATAGATTAAGTTTAACTTTTTTTTTAATTTTATTTTAGTTTCAGGCACTGAAAACATTAATAATAAATATACCCTGAAAATTTGAAGCTAAAATAATGTTTTTTTTATTGAGATCCCAATGTTTTCCTACAGCTACTCATAAAGAAAACAAAATTGAAAAAAATCAATTTTGAAATTAAAAATCATATGCACTACTCAGATAAATCTTGTGTTTGAGATAAAAATAATCAATATTCTAAAATTATTTTAGGAAAAATATTTTTACTAATGAATTATACAAGGTTCAATTGTCTAAACAACATTATCTCAAAATTTTCATTTTTTTTTCACCTAAATAATGGCTGGATACCACCAAAGTTGTAGATACCATTGCAATTCTTTCGGGTATAAGTTTTTAAGAATATTTTTTTGCAATAAAAGTTGATTTATTTTATAGAAATGGAGGCAGAAATAGCATAATAAGTAATTTTACGCCAGACATTGAAAGCAGAAATCGCATAATAAGTTAACTTATCCTGCTCACGTGACCTGATTAGTAACTTATGAACTTTTTATTTTAATTTTAATTTCAAGTTTTTCAACTTGCAAACTGAAAACTCATGCAGGTAACGAACCATTATGATAACATAAACATAAAGGACAAAGTACTTTTGCTTCATGACTGATAGTTTTGAAAATAACTCAGAACTTTCAAAGCATTCGCCTTCTTGCCATTTTTTATCTATTATATATATATATATATATATATATATATATATATATATATATATATATATATATATATATATATATATATATATATATATATATTTATATGTATATACAAATATCTTTCAACATGTTAATAAATTTCAACATGTTAAAAACAGCAACTGATGAATACTTGAAGATATTTAATCTTTGAAAAAAAGCCACAGGAGAAGAATAACTATTATTATTTTTAATAGTTAATAGTTTATTAAAAATAATAATTCTATCTTATTTTATCATTTATTATTTACCGTTTTTTTAGTTGCCAATGTTATTTAATCTTGTCAATTAAAGTAAGAGATTTTTCGTTTAAAAAATAAAGCTAAGTTTTGCTAAGCAAAAAAAAAAAGCAAAAAAGAAATGAGTTTGGTTAAATATCTATTTAGGTACGTTAGATATGTTTTTAAAACTTAGATCATAATCTAATCGCTTATTGCATAATAACTAAATTAATCTTTTATAGAATGTTTTTGAAATTTTCATATAATATTTACAAATAATATATATATATATATATATATATATATATATATATATATATATATATATATATATATATATATATATATATATATATATATATATATATATATATATATATATATATATATATATATATATATATATATGTATATATATATATATATATATATATATATATATATATATATATATATACACATATATATTTATATATATATATATACATATATATATATATATATATATATATATATATATATATATATATATATATATATATATATATATATATATATATATATATATATATATATATATATATATATATATATATATATATATATATATATATATATATATATGTATACATATATATATATATATATATATATATATATATATATATATATTTTATATTGTAGGAATTGTGTTATTATTTCAGTAATAGTGATTAATACAACATGTTACATATATGTAATACGCTGTAGTGATCAGTACAACGTGATGCATATATGTAATACGCTGTAATGATCACCAATTATAATTGGTAGAGCAAATGATATAGTGAAAACTAAATATTTGTTAAGATATATTTCAATTACATAACTTGAAGTTTCACGCAATAGCAAGCATCAGATGTAGATGTATGAATAGGAATCATTAGATGTAATAACAACAAAAAAGTAACGACAAAATTTGTATTCTATGAAGTAAAAAATATAAAAATGCTATGAAGTGTCCGCTTTGATTACACGTTTTTAATTAGAATTTATTTTCATCGCGGCACTATAAAGCAAGCTCGGTTCGTTTATTAGGCAATTTTAATGGTGATGTAATAATGCGGTATTTTTCTTTCAAGCATAGTTTGCAAAATTTACCGTCAGAGTTGAATGGCTTCGCTTGATCAAGAATATTCTATTTTAATATAGGTTCTAAAGAGTTATTTTTAATTCCCACCCATATTTCGAAAGTTTATGACAAGACCTAATGGTATTGTCACAAGACCGCTGTCTTGTTTCTGTGACAAGACAACGTCTTGTCTCTATGACAAGACAAGACAAAACCGTTCTCTTGTCTCTTGAGTACCACGGCAGTGCATTTAACCAGGAAGTTCACGTATCCTTTCTATACGTAACGCGAAAATATGACGAGAGCTCGCTTCGAAACTGAATCTCCTGCTTATAACGGAAGGGCTGTAAACATGGCGGCACGGCTGCACGAGTTCCAGCCGGCAAAGTTCAGTAGAATTTGCCTTATTTTCATAAACAAAAGAGTTTTAATGTTTATATCACCTGTTTTTGAACGTTTTCTCTTAGGCTGGATGTAATTATAACTTTTTTCTTTGTGGTAAGTTTTTATATTTGAGGCATTTTCCATTAAATGGGGATAAGGTGATTTGTCAGCAATTGCGACATTAATTAGCATTTTCATGAAAATTTTTATTTTTTTAATTTTGAACATTATATTTTGCCGTCTAAGAAACATACATTATTGTTACAACATACATTATTGTTATATTTTGCCGTTTAAAAAACATACATTATTGTTACGAAGTACATAAATTTACAAATAAAATTAATGGCCGGCGTCACGTTAAATAAGTAGATTTGACGAAATGAAATTCTGTGCATGCGTCAGTTTACAGATACTTGTTAAACAAGTAGACTAGTTAAAAAGTTAAGGCATTATTTGTAAATCCACAAACAAACAAGCAAAAAAAAGAGAAACGTATATTAACCGATCTAAACGCATTTACTTTGTCATGCAAATTTTTATTATTATTTAATAATTATTTTACGGCATTTTTATAGTGATAGTTTACTAAATTTGATATTACTATCGGTGTATATTTTGGTCGAAATTTATATATCTATAGTTTTTTTTGACAAGAAACATATTTTTAAGAAAAATCATTTTTTTTCTAGGTCATCCACTTGATAAGTAAACTAAAATCATACATGCTTTATTGATATCAAATAAAATAGCTATAAAATAGTCATCTATTACAAATTTACTGTATTCCTATATAATTTAACTGCGCATTTGGGCAAAATGTTTTAGATTAAAATAATTATTTTTAGTGAAAAGAATATTTAATTAGAGATTTAATTAAAGCAAGGAGTTATAATAACGTAGCCAAGAGGGAGAACGAAGTTAAAATACGAAAAACAGTCTTAGTAGTAACGAAAGTTTCAATTAAACACCGCGAAATTATCATAATTAAAAGTTAACCAATCACTTCCATTTTTAACGAAAGCTATTCAATGATATTGTTTCAAGACGTAGTAAGCAATTTAAGCATTGAAAATAAAGAAATGGAAGTTTAAAAAGTTTGTAAATAATTTTTAAAGTCAGTTTGTCGTTATATTTTTGTTGTGCTTTTTGTACGACTAATAATAAATTTCTAGATTAGAATTGAAATAATAAATGTCTAGATAAGTATTGGTTGTGTTTTTGTCATGTATTTTATATCTATATTACATACTTATATGCAGTGCCGGATCAAAGGGGAGGGTGGCTAGGGTGGCTATAGCCCCGGGCCCCGCAAATTAAAGAAACTTTTTTTTTTTAGTGATTTTTAGGCTCAAAAAAAACAAAAATACCCCCGGTCCCCATGAAGTCTAATCCGCCACTGTCTATATGTATATTGGTAGTATTTTTGCCATGTATTTTTAATATTTTGATTTAATTCATTGTTTTTGTCTAAAAACATTTTTTTGATCTTTTTAAATTATTCGTTAAAAATTTATTTACGCATTTTAAAAGTTTGAAACTTTTTGAGGGTAACCTTGTTAATAACCTTCTTGAAAAAAACATAAAGATTTTTCAAGAAACTCAAAAAAAAACTTAATTGACACACCATATATTGATCCTTTTGATTTTAAAATAATAAATAAAAATTTTGAGAAACGAAAAGATTTTTTAAACATTATAAATTACACGTTCGACGTCATAGCTCTTCCAGAGACTTGGCATGTTTTTGAAAATTCTTTTAAATTAAATTCTATTTATAATTAGCCATTTTATAAACTTATAAGTTAACCAAGAGGAAGTGGAAAAAAAAGGTGGAGGATTAGGGCTTTATGTCTCAAAAATGCACGATTTTAAGGTAAAAAACATACTATGCTTCTAAAACGATAATTACGAAATTTTGTAGTTATCGTAATTATATTTCAAAAATTCGTAATTATAAAAAGATTAAATTTTTTATTTATAATTTCAATAAATAGACTTTCGATAGCCTATTTATTGAAATTATAAATAAAAAACTTCGAAATGTTTTAGTTGGATGCGTTTATCGTCCACGAAGTGGTAAAATCAAATCATTTGAAACTTTTGTCAAAAATCCAATTAAAAAAGTAAATAAAGAAAATAAAATTTTATACGTTATTGGAGACATAAACCTTAATGCAAAATTTTCAAAAATAATCCTTTTTTGATATGATTTCTAAATTAATAAGCAAACATGAGTGTCAAAAACTTCGGCAACGGCAATTGACAATATTTTTATTAATAGTTACCTGAAGATGGAATTTTGAAACAGGGATATTTATGACCTATATTATCTATGCCTGACTGTGAACCAAAAGTTATAAACTTGAAAAAACGCAATCTTAAAACAAGTAATACTAATTAGACTTGAACAAGAAACGTGGTCCAACGTGTGTAGATGTCAGAAAACTAATGAAGCTTTCGATAATTTTTTAGATACATTCCTAGATTGCTTTAATGAAACCTGTCCTCAAGAAGATATAAAAATTAAGACAAAAGTATTTACTAATCTGTGGATGGATAAAACACTGATAAAATGCTCCAAAAAGAAGCAAAAACTCTATAAGAAGCAATAACACTATAATTTCTAAATAATAAAAACACTGATAATGAGATACCTTACAAAAACTATAAATATTTTTACCAAAATCTTATTAAAAAAGCTAAAAAAAAATACTACAATAATAAAATCATTAAATGCAAATCTAATAGTAAAAATAAATGGTCCATCATTAATGAGATATTAGGAAGGAAAAAATAAATTCAACTTCTTTACCAGAGAGAATTAATATTAACAATACAAAAATATTCTGTAAAACGCAAATATCCGAGGAATTTAACAAATATTTTATAAATATTGGTCAAAACAGTGCTAATAAAATAAGTCCAACATCTGATTCATATAAAAACTACCTAAAACCCACAAATAATGCCATCATGTACAATAAGAAATTCAACTATAAAGAAATTGGAGAAGCCTTTTCCTTTTTTTAAAAAAAATGAAAGCTCCAGGATTTGATGAAATAACTAGTAATTTAGTTATCTTTAATAAAACTAGTCTGAGCAGACCTCTAATCCATATACCTAAGATCTCAATAACATATGGGATTTTCCGTGACGTCTTTAAAATACCAAAAGTAATCCCTATATTTAAATGTAATGAACATTCCGACAACCAGACGGATATCAATATTGTCTGTATTTTCAAAACTCTTCGAACGTGTAATTTATAATAGAATCTATTGTCCTAATCATTTCACTACAAACAAGTTATTTTACAAAAAAACTGTTCAACAGAGCATGCAATCAATGAATTAGTTAATTAAATAACTGATGGCTTTAAACAAAATAACTTTACTTTAGGAGTTTTTAGATTTATCAAAAGCTTTTGATACATTCCATCCTATTAGATAAACTAAAGCGCTATGGTATAATTAATAAAAATTACAATCGGATTAAAAGTTATCTTACCAATAGAAAACAATGTGTGTAATATACAATCTGGAGTTTTATATTTTTTATGTGGAGTCCCCTAAAGATCTACCTTTGCTTTTTAAAATTTGAGAATCTTTTGTGCTTAAAGGAATCACCAAGAAATTTTGTTTATTTTCTAATTTTTTTATCTTTATTT